ACAAGTGGGGAGTAGAACAGGCAGATGGTGCTGAAATACACTACTGAGGGGAGCAACTGGTGGGTCAGGAGGGGTCTGTGGCGCCATGTGAGTCAGCTCCCTGGCCGGGGATCAAACTTGTGCTGCAGTGAGAGGTCCATAATGCAGTGCTTTAACCTGTTGCACTACCAGGGAGAGCCCCTTTTCTGCACTTTTGTTCTTTTTGAACAATTTTGCTTGACATATTTTTGGTTGGTAGGTTTTTTCCTTTAAGTGCTCTGAATATATCATTCCATTTCTCTCTGGCCTTTAACATTTATGCTGAAAAATCTGCTGATAATCTTGTAGGCTCCTTTGTACATGACAAGATGTTTTCAGAGTACATTTTGACTTACATGTTTGATTGTAATGTATTTCAGTGTGGGTCTCTTTGGGTTCAGCCTATTTGAGTTTGCTGAATGACATAGTAGTATGATGCTTGCTTTCTTCAGATTTGGTTGTTTTCCCACTATACCTACATTCACTCTTTTTTATGTCTCCTGTTGAACTCCTGTAGTGATTTTTTTAAAAATATAATTCGGCCCTCCCTGGTGGCACAGCGGGTTAAAGCACCACACTGAGAATCTAAAAGCCACTTCCTCATGAGTTCGATTCCCGCCTGCCCCGGAGGTGACCACATGGCGTGGCAGACATCTCCTGACCCGCCTGCTGCTCCCCTCAGCAGTGTACTTCGTCGATCTGCCTGTTCTGCTCCCCACTCTGTCTCTGGTGAATCCTCTCACCCTCCACATCTCTGGCCTGTACCCCAGTTCTATATGAATAAATAAATAAATCTTTAAAAAAATATATAATTCATCTGTCATATTCTTTAGCTCCAGATTTCTTTTAGTAATTTGCTTTTGTTGACATACCTTTTTACTCATGCATCACTTTCCTGATTTGTCAGTCTTGTTCTCTTGAGCATCTTTAGGGTATCTGTTTAAAGTTCTTTGTCAGCTATTCTGAGACCTACACTTCCTTAAAGCCATTTTTAAAAAATTTATTTTGTTATAATTGTCCATGTTCCAATCCTCCCACTCCTCTCCCTTTCTTCAAAGGCTTGTGAGCTTATGTTGACATGTGGACATATGAAAAACAACCACTTTTACCAGTCTTTATAGCTTCAGCAATCAGCCTAGCTAGAGGTTCTGGGACCTCTCAAAAATCTTCTCTAGGTTTCATTTTCTCTGGGCTTGTATGTTCACTTTTTTTCAGTGTATATATTTGTTCTTAACCGTCTTAATTTCCCTAACAGGTTTGTTCTTGTTTCTTCCCTGGAACTTTGTTTTGTTCTCTTATTATATTCCTGTCAGTAGTCTTTTGCAGGCTTTGTGCCTGCCAGTGGAACTGTAGATTCCCTGCTGCTTGCAGGATACTCTGTCTTCAGTATCCTGCAACCTGCATCCAACCCATGCTGCCACTCCCACTCCCACTCCCAGTCAGTAACAGAATTTAGTCCTTCTGTACAGCTATCAGACAAGCCAAAACATTGAATACAAGTTGTACTTTGTTCTTTTGGTCTTGAGGGAGGAGCCAAGAATTGATAGTTTTCTCTCAATTGTGCTGTTAAGGGTGAGTTTTTCATCATATTCTCTAGAATTCTTGCAAAGTTAATTTAGTTTTTACATTAACTTAGTGAATACATGTGGGACAGGGAACTGGAGCTTCATTGTCTCAAGTCTTGGTGACCTTATCCTTCCTCCCATCTACCTGTCTTTGCTATCCCTTGATAGTCACTAGCATAAATATATTCATGAACTCTGAATATCTTTTTAAGATCAAAAACATGCATAGTAAACATGCCTATCCAGTTAAGTTTTACTGATCTATTTATCAATGGTGTTACCAAACTGACTTGAAATAGCTGAACCATTACATGAATACAAATCTTATGTTTTTAAATGAGTTTTAACTTAAAAATCTCATCACCATATATATGATGTTAAATAAGCTAAATATGGATGTGTTTGGAATTTAATCTTATTGTGAGATACTTCAAGTTTGACCTAATATAAAAGTTTCCCACTCTTCTTTCCCCCATCCTCCAGTCCCAGGTAGTCACCTTTCTACTTTGGCTTTTTTAAGAATCCGCATATAATTGAGATGGTGCATCTTTGTCTTTCTGTGTCTGGATTATTTCATTTGGCATGGTGTATCCAGATTGGTCTGTGTTGTTGCAAATAGGATTTCTCATGTGTGAATGGTATTCCATTGTATAAGATACTATTTTTTGCATATATATGGCTACCTTTTTGAGACAGTGAATTTATTTACTTAAGACATATACCTAGAAGTGAGATTTCTGGATAGGCAGTTCTACTTTTGCTTTTTAAGGACTTCCATTCTCTCTTGCATAATGGCTGTAGTAATTTAAATTCTCTCCAACAGGTGTACAAGTTCCCTTTTCTCTACATTCTAACCAGCACTTATCTGTTGGCTTTTGATGATAGTACTGGGGAAAAGTTAGTTTTCCCTACCCCAGGTTTTTCTAGAATGGCAAATAGTCAAATTAACATTAGGTTGAAGAGAAAAAGGGCTAAAAATAAATTTAACAACATGTATACCTCTCTCCTATATATATGGGGGAAACCCAGTAAGTGGATATAATTAAGCAAAATTAACTTGTTACTTAAATAACTTCAGCTAAAGACAAAGGATATTAGGGGAAGGGAAAGTCAGTTATTGGAGAGTAACAGGAAGACAGCAAACGAAGGCATAACTATTATGCAGATTTAAATTGCTGCCTGCTCCAATGATGAGTTAGAGAGATTAGGTCTTCCCAGTGGATGAAGGGAGATACCCTCTTAAAGGCAAATATTCCTTAGTAACTCTAAAGGATATTCTCTACCCAACTTTTCAGAGCCCTTCCTATGAAATACTCTTGCCAAAGAAACATATTATGGGAGTGACAGATTTTGGTTCACTATAGTTGCTCTTCAAGACAGGTGTGAGGTGATGTCATGTGGCTTTGATGTACATTCCCCTGGTGATAGAGAATCTTTTCATTATTTGAAAAAAGTTCCCCAAATTTTACCAGAAGTCATATTTTTTTACATCAAAACTCATTTCAAAAATTGAATTCTGGAATATTCACTCATAAGTCTCTAGAATTATTTACGAGAAAATCTTGTGGGAGGAGATTCTGATGTCTCAGAATGTTCCATTTTACCTTCCCTAATTTTGGAAACCTTTAGTTTCAAAGATTATGGTAATAACATTAAATCCTGTGTTCCATTTTGAGAAAACATGCTGAGTAACAGGAAGCACCTGTTAAATGGGAGACATTAAAACATTAACTTTGTATCACATGCATGCCTCTCCTACTTTAGATACGAGCATAAATTTTTATCAAAATTTTGCTCAACTTGTGATTTCTAAGTGATTACATTCCTCAATAAACTAAACTACTGACTAAACTTCTATTAGAAATTTTTGTATTTTCAAAGAATGTGCAAAAAATAAACAGAAGCAGAATGAACAAATATTTGTATCCAGATATCCAGTACAATCATACTTGTTGGATTTACCTGTGTTACCCTGGTGAGAACTCAGAAGCAGGCAGTGGGCAAAGGTATGATGCAAATTTAGTGTACAGGACCATATATACACTATTGTAAGCTAACTAGAAATTGACTTAATTTCTAAGATAACAATCTTGTCTTCTGACTAGGGTTTATCCCTGAAGGGATAGTACATTCTGCTCAAAATTGTGCTTCCCCTCCCTACCCACATGATATAAATTTGTAAGGACTAAGTAGTATTTGATGAGTTAACAAAGCTCATCAATCACTCAGACTAAATTTAGAGGTACTTCATTTTTTGCTGTAGTTACTCCCTCATAGGCCCTTATTTTTAACCCTTAAGAATTAAATTTGAACTTTAAAATATATTAGTCCAAAAGGGACCTATACCAGTCATTTATAAGCTAAAAAAGCAGAACTAAGATCTTAAAGGTCCACTTCATAGTGGCTTTGAAAGTTTTGTCACTTAATAGCACACACTCATTTGATTATATCACTAAGGCTGTGACTATGTTTGGTAAATCAAAGTAAACACAAACTCAGACCTGTTACTGGTAGTGAATTACAACTTTTTAAGGGAGTGAGACAGTAAATAAAACTGGAGAAAAATTATTCTTTATTGAAAAATACCAATAATACTGACAGTTCAAAAGCAATTCACGCTTCCAGAATACAAAGTACTTAATACATTTTTTCAAACCTGTTTGCATTTCAAAGTTAGCATTTTTATAAATCAAATTGATAACCTGACTAAAAATATTTTCCAGCTTTTTATTACTTAAGGAGCTGCACAACCTTTAAGGTAGGGACTGTAAGGTGGGCAGGAACAGGGATGCGCCTGGGGCTGCGCAGCGGTCTACAGCAACATTTCCCACAACCTTGGTGCTGGAAAAAAAAAATACTGCACAAAGACAGATGCCCTCCAGTGTCGGAGAATCTTGGGGAAGAGCATATCAAAAGACAGCTTTTCCTATTTATAAGAATGCCACTGTAATTTAATGTCATCCAATAACTGAACTAAAAAAAAAAGTCTTTGCTGAGCTATATAATTCTATGCTTTTTAGATGCAAGAAGTTAACACATATGCAGGTTTAATTTGAAACCACACAAATTATGTAGGCTCAGATAGTAGCAGTGTTCACTTTTATTACTAATAGCTTCACTGGAACAGCCACTCTGTTCATTCCACCAGCAGGAATAGCAGCACCAAGACCTAAATTTCTTTACTTATGAAAAGCTTACACCATTATCCAAGTCCCATTCTTTGCATGCTCCAATTCTTGTTATCTTATTTAACATGAAAGCAACAGGATTTGGAGAGTTACTATTTGCTGTATTAAAACAGCTATACAGCATCTTGTACTGTCAAAAAGCAAAATACTGTGAATGGCAGCCCTTCTTCACAGTTCTAAACTTCAAGCTGCCAAGCATCCAACTGCTCGTGCCAGCAGCGGCATTTCCACAGTAAAATAGCAGAAACTAAGGGAATCATGGCACAATGGATTTCTGAATTCTTTTATCTACCATTGGTCCTGGGGCTAGTACCTTCCCCTTGTAGACTACATCTGCTGATCATTCCATCATCCTTCGTGGAGGAAAGGCATCAGGTCATATAGCGGGTAATGGCTCTCAGAGCATAAAGGAGTTCTGCTTGCATTCTGGCTTCTATAAGAAGCAGATTAACATGAACCTAAATAGAAAACACAGTATCACTTAGGGTAGGGTTATAAATACAATCAGTTTTTCAGTGCACTTAATAAACACCAAAATATTTTGTATGTGCCACTTCACATCTTAGTCTTAGCTTTGTTGAACTGTTTAATTTCTTAACAAAAGCTGTCTGACGTTCTTATTGCATAGGTATTTTGAGCTTATTTATGCATGATCACATCTCTTTCTTGGAGGGTTGTTATACTTCAGAAATTCTAAACATTATTTTATTAGAATAGCAACTTCCTAACATTCAACAATACCTATCACGATGTTCTTAAACCAGATTTTTTTGTGTATACACAATTTATAAGAGCTCTTGGGCACAGCCTTCCACCTCCAAGCAGTGACAGTTCTGGCAGCACACCTGTCCTGCCTGTCTTTATTCTTTCATTCTAGCACCAGAATTAGCTTCCCTTTCTAGGGCCACCTGAGAGACAGCTGTGTTGGAATGTTCTCCTGGTTGGCAGTGGTGTTAGAAAGCCATTAGATTAGGTGAAGGAGAATACAGATCACTGCTAAGTCACAGAGTAAACAAGCCAAAATGGGTACCTACCTTCTCAGAGTGCTTGAACTGCCTCCAGAAGCTATCGTACATTCTTTTGGTAACCTTTTCAGGAGTGCACACAACAGTTTTGATATAAACTTTAAAGCTACGATCCAATAGCTGGTTAATTTCACCATAGTCATAGTCATCGTATCTGTTAAAAGAAGAATTACTGTAGTTGTAGTACAGTGTATATTCTTTTCATAAAGGTATAGGTGATTGCAAATATTGTATTCTTGTTGCTCTGTATTATTTAGTGGACGAATGAGTATAAAGGAATAAGAAAGAATTTAATGGAGATGAATAGAAAATTTGCCAAATTCTCTAAGAGTTTGAGTACTGCTTGATACTAAGAAAGTAACTACACAATATTTTTACTATTGGTACCAGTATAGTCTATATAAAAAGTAATCTACTTGTATAAATAATAGAATTTTTTTTCTCATGTCTCCGGGAGTTTTGGGGATCAGATGTGAGAAAAAATGGAGCGCGCGAGGAAAAAGGCAGCTGTCTCAGAGGAAGGGTGGTCTCATAGGGAGCTCACAAAATCTATACTTAAGAGGCTGTTCTGCGTTAAGCCAAAAGGATCAAAGGCACGATTGTCTGCTCTGTTCCACTGGGTGATGGTTTCTAGAATACCTAGAGACTCAAGTCTATTGTTTGCTGTTTAATGGAAAAAGGGAGAAGAGCTCTTGTAAGGCTGGTCCTACAGCCATTCAGGAGTCTGGTGCCTGGTAACTCAGAGAATACCACAGCACGCAGTGTGCACACATGTGTTAGAAGGTGGCACAAAATAATTGCATTTCTTACATAATGATACGACTAAAAACCTAACAAGACACGAAAGCTCTGCATTCTGATGAAGTATCATAGAGTGGGCACTCACCAGAAGTAGTTTAAGAATACGCAGGGAGTACTATAAGGGTACTATAATTCTCAGTTCCAAGAATTAAGAACTATGAGTGTGTTTGGAGACAGATGATACAAAGAGAAAAGGTAGTAAAAATGTTCTGCTTCACCTCTTTTCATTTATGCTCTACTAGCTTGTCTTCCTGTTCCCCCAGAGGCATCTGTCACTTAAGTCTTGTCTTATCGATGACCTTACCCCCCTTGCTTGCTTAGCTAGTAGAAAGGAAGCAAAGCAAGCTACAGTAAGTTGATTCATTGAAGCCCAGGCAGAATGGTATATGAATGTGTATCTGTGCACTAAGTGTTCCAAATATACCTAATCTAGTCCAAAAGAAACTCTCTCTATAAACATAAGAAAACAGACTAACCTTATTCCAAACATGCAGTGAATATAGTTCCAAATAGCACGTCTTAGCATTGAGGTATCAACATCTTTGTGCGTTGCCATTGTATTATAAGTAAGATTGTAAGCAATGTGAAATTTCTCATCAATCAATTGTCCCACATCTGGATAAAGGCGATTTACCAAAGAATAACCATGGTCTTCCCAGCAATAGTCCTAAATACAAAGCAGAGTAAGTGTGAGTAAAATGTGGCCACGTACAGCTCTGTGTCTAGTACATCCCTAACTTCCAGCTTCACTTGTATTCCAGTTTGGAATTTTCATTTCTATGTCGCAATATACAAAAAAGTACTTTTATAAACTCCCATGAGTTTAAAACTCAATGGAATCTCTTCTCCATACACATACCTTGCCCATGGTCAGTTTGCTCTCACTGTCTTCCCACCCAGCCTCCAAAGGTAAACTATCAGGATCCTCTTTTTCGTTAACAGCCTTTCAAGTGGGCCTCAAATTCTGCGAATTTCTAATCCGACACACCCATCGCTCATTCCTTATCCTCCATCTACCCTCTGAACTTTACTCATTTTCTCTGCTTCCTTTCTTTTTACCTTAAACAAAGTTTAATAAGCCCCACTTCTGTATTATTCTGAGATTTATTCACTATTATACTACCACCCACGGCCAAAACCTGCACATTTAACCAATTTTAAATTAATTTCCTATTAATCAGAAATAGGAATTCTTTGCTTGAAGCTCTTAAGAGCCAGTCAATTTCTCTATATAATCATCTCTTCTGTCACTCTGTCATTCAACCTGAACTTAGATTTTGCTACTTATCATGCCCGGTTTTTGTAACATTCATTTAATCTCTTTACATTTCTAGCTCATAACTCTGTTCAATTCTGATTTATTATATGTCATGACAACTTTGCTATCAAAAAGAAATATTCTGTGATTCTTCCCTGTGTCCAATTTTTGTCCCCTTGAAATCTGCCACAAAGAAACAATCTTCTAGCTTGAACACTTGCCCTCACAGTAACTGGGGAAGATGGGAATATCAACTCACCTGAATTAAATATTTACCTACATAAATTAAATATTTACACAATAAGTTATTTTAGAGATACATTTAAATTCTGGAGTACAGAATATTTCCTAATTAATTGATCATCCTCCACTTTTATTCTGGAACTAGAGGATACATCTGCTGTTATGCCTGAGATTTTTTTTGCAAAGCACTTAGCAGAGTACCTTCTGCCAAGCAAAACTGAGAAGGATCCTGAGTTTTCATGTATATACAGAATTGTTGTGGAAACATTTTACTATGTATTTCAAAGTAATGTATGTAATTCAAAGAAATTGGGCCTATCAACTCTACTCACTATGAATCATATTTATGTGAATCCTCCCAAGGTTTAAATTTGAAATCCTCATTGCTTCAAAAAACAATTCATATTTTAAAGAGAGCTAGGGTACTGTGTCATTATTTTCTACCTGTAAGAATTATCTGTAAGAACTAGCCCAAATTAAAAAAAAAAAAGATTTACTCTCCCTTAAGGTCCTAATTTAAGGACTTTTTTTCTTTACTGACTGCATCATCTTTCCTTCCACCCAGACACACAAAATGCTTGAGATTACTCAGGTATGCATATCAGAATCACTTTCACTTTCAGGCATAGGAGGCAGGGAGAAAACTAAAAGCCACCAGTTAGGGACTAATGTAATTATTACTCACTGTTTAGTTATGAGCCTGGAGTTTTTGCCTACCAGTTGGGAACCTAACTACTGTTATAATTTTGTTTTTTGGCATATTTTGAATTTTAAGCAGCTCATTTATAAACTTAAATAATACAATAAAGGAACTGCCTGTACATAGAAGTTACTTCTTTCTGCAACATTTTATGGTGACTTAAGTTAGACTGATAAATTTCTAATCAATCACATGCATACAACAAATTGCAATTTTACCTGGACCCGAAATGTTGGAACATGCATCCCATGTCTAGAGAAATCCTTATAGCCGTAACTAGTATCCTCGAAGTGCCTAGAAACATCTCTTGCTGGTGTAACTTCTTCATCATCTAGAATGATTTAAAACAATAACAACAAAACCCACTGAAAGCTTTTCAAAAATAGGATGCTAGTTAAAATTAGCTTTATACCAAGTAAAACAGGACAGTACTTTCTGACACTGAGTAAATAAAGCCCTTAAATGGAATATTAACAAGTGTATTAAAATTCATAGTTGAATTTTCCACACTTTTCATTTTTTTCATGGACCTTTTCCCCCTGTCTTCATTGCAATACACAAGTATTAGGTTCTAGTTACTAAAATTGGCTATGCGCTAAAACTTTAACATTTGGATGATGTCATATTAATGTCATCATATATAGCATGATTAAATGGCTCAAAAATCTAACAATTCTAGCATCATGAATGAAGGGGAGGTTTTCTAAGTCATTTTGACATGTTATTGGCACTATTGTAAGCCTTTCTGGATTATCTTCATGTTCAGAAGTTAAGATTATAGTTTAACAAACTATAATATTATAGTATAGTATATATATAATGTATAATATAGTAAAAACTTTCTCAAGAAAAAGCAAGCTACTACCTACTTCTACATATTTTTTTGTTGTTGTTATTAAAAGCTTGATAGCTTTAACAGATACTTTCTCTCCCACTTTTTTATTGTCCAAATACATTCTGAGACACTTTATTAATTTAAAGGAAAAAAAGTTATTTGGGAGCCTGCATATAGATAAAGCCCAAAACAAAATAGCTCCTTTTCATAAAAAAGGTGTTAAGTCACTTTGGTTCACGAAGCTTATTAGGGGTGATTTTAATACTAGAATCCAAATATCCCCTCTTGGTCTAGTACTTATTTCAATGTAACTTCCTTTATGTAATAGCCTCTTTAAAAGGAAAAACATATTTAAATTCTGTGAATGAAACTGGGCTTTTTTTTTTTTAAATAAGCAATAGAAATTTTATTGACTGTAGTGGTGGTTACTTTTACCTGAAGAAAAGACAAACATGCTCTCTCTTTTTTCTATTTCAAAACGCGAAGCCATCTCTTCCTGACTTGCCTCTTCTTCATCTCGACATTCTTGTAACTGCCTCATCTTTTCCATGAGGGCTTCTACCTCAAAGAAGGAATCACTTACCTGAACAGAAGATAAAATTAATGTTCATATGTCAGACACAGAATGAAATTTTTATAATTTTAGTGTACATGAAACAATTATTTTGACTTTTATATAAGTTTTTTAATGTTATATTAGCAATGATCTCATTACCTAGGTATTACAGTCTCATTACTCAGACATTGTCAATTTAAAATAGAACTGAATATTTAAAAATTCTACTTGCTCCATCAGTTCAGTAAGATACAAAATAAAGTGTTTATCAATTGTGTATGCCAGGTATATTATTAGCATTTATAGTAATTAGCTCTGTTTATATAATCATATAATTACAATTTATAAAATTTATAATTTATGATTAAGAATAAACATGTCCTTCTAGGACTGGAGTTATTAACCTGACCTCTGTAAGTAGAGCTGGCAGCTGTAATGGGCTGGGATGACTATTGCAGAGACAGGTCTGATACACGAAGACCCACTAAAGTAGCCAAACAGTTTATTCTTTCACACCCTTATGAAAGCTGCACCAAGTCTATGTGATTTCTCTTTTGAAATAAGTTATAGTACGAAATCTTAAAATTTCAAATCACAATGTTCAAATATAAAACTAATGTTTCCTCCTTTATAAATTTCTTTTGTGAGGAATTTTCTTTCCCCTACTTTTCCACCCTTTCTCCTTTAAATGCTGTTTATTCTCTACCTTCAAGCCTATCACTGCAGTTGTTCTCATACAGCACTCTCTTCTTGAAGGGGAAGGAATCTGTCAATCTAGTGTATGCTCAAAACCTAATAAAGAGCTCATTATAGATTAAATATTCAAGATATATTTATTGCAGAATAATTGTCAGAATAATTCTACATTAAGAAACAGTCTGTACTATTTGTGCTTTGTATTTTCATATGATCTAAAGTTGTACCAAAATACTGAGTACTTTTTCCCCCATAGTTTCATGTTTCTTGGATATCTCCTGATACTTTTATCTCCATAATTGTTATTAAGACAGGGTCAGTAGCCAAACAAGTGAACTGAAAAGTATTACATTGCTTAAGAGATGGCCCAAGGTTTAAAAACAAAAAAAATTAAGGTCTCTGTCAACTTACATTATCCCTCATTAATTTTGTTTACCCATTTTCCTCTTAAGCATTTCAAATTTTAAGAATACATAAGTATCCTAAGAAAATTCTTGATATAAGGAGGAAAAGAAACAAAATGTACTTCCTTTACATCTTGAATTACTTGCTAGCATTTCTAAAAGCCACTATTTTTGAAAAACTATTTGTATCTGAGGAACTTAGTCAGATGTCTGACACATACCTGAAAAATAAGCTGCCATCATTGTGGGCTGTAACCCATCTAAAAATAGTGAACTCAATACCTGGGAGTAAGGGAGTTTATTATCTACTAGAGAAAAAAAATGTCTATTTATCATTTAGTAAACAGAATAACCAGAAATAAAGACTTTTTCTTTAGCCTTTTATTAAATCAAAGGCAGGGAAGTACAAGAACCCAACTTCTGGCATTCTAGCAACTGAAAATATTCTCTTCCATACCATCGCATGATCTCTAAGCTCTGATAATCAGTGTCATACAAAGATCTAAAATGAAGCCAGGTAACTCAACATGGAAATAATTTTGGACCTTGTCAGCACATTATATATCAATCAACCTTGGGAAAAGGATATTCCTCCATATGCTGATCTTACCACAGATGAATGTCCACAATCAAATATATAAAATAAAGTAATTCAACTTGTCAAAAGCAAGTATGCAAAATATTCAGAAGGTTGTGATTCTGTTTCTGTGATTTCTCTCTGGAACATAAACCTTTGCTGTTTCACTACAAGAAAGAGGATGCAGAGGGAATTCTGACTCATCATCTACTGTAACTAAAATTTGCCTATAAAAATTTCAACTCACTCTGATCTGTTTCTAAAGAATTAAAAAAGAAAGAAAATATAAAAAGCTAGAGAAGAAAAGGTGAAAACATTTTAGTAAATTTTTACATTTGTTTTATATTTGCATATACATATATATGTATAAACATATACATACATTTCATGTATTCGTGTGAACTTAAATGTGAAAAAGAATTTTAAATGGAGAAATTTCTAGATCAGGGCTTATTAAATATTCTGAAGGTGAATATTAAGTCAGTCCATTTCTTTTGTGTAAAAGAGAATAAAAGGATGAGATGAAAATTTGGAGGTCTGTATTACCATCTTATTGAAGGAGCCATTCAATACTGGTTGACTAGAGGGCACATGATCTAAAAGTACTTAAGTGTAGCCTCCTAGAGGACCTTATAATTTTGTATATCCCTTAGCACTAACTAGTAATGGGAATTTGTAGGCAGTCAATAAAATACTTGCCCAATGATATTAGGAGAACTTAAGAGGGTAGACTTTCTAAGAAGTCAAATGAAAATGTAACAAAATAGTAATTATCATCATTGATTTCACAAAAATTCTATACTTACCGAAACATTTCCTACTGAGTTGACCGGCATCTCATCCACACTGTGATTACCATTTGTAATGTCACAGATGCAGTAGTTACTAACAGAAGGAGGTCTAAACGTGTGGCCACCATCGCAATGAATTTCAGGACTGATTCCACAGCCAAATGTGAATGAGGCAAGAGAATGATAGTGTGTGAGTAGAACAACTGCATGTACCAGTTCCGCGAGGGACCAGCTATGCTCTTCAGCTTTTAAAAGTCCCTTGTGGGGGGAAAAAAATGAACATATTTTATATTGGGATATGGTATTGGGTGAAAGCATAATATATTAAAAACAGGATTAGCTACTCTACAAACAGTATAAAATTACAATTTGAGACATATAGAGCTCAGAATTTGTTAATGACACATTGTGATTTTCTGGAATCAAAATTTTAAGATGTAATAAAAATGCATATTATCAAAAGTAGTTGCCATATTTCAGATGCCAGGTTTATAAATGTGTTAACTAGCCTCAACTTGTTTTTAAAGTAGAAGCGATTGTATAAAGTATTTTTTTTTTCCTGTAGGAAAAAAAATCACGCTTCCTCAAGGAATTTTTAAGATAGTGGATTTGAACATTTAGACTCTGAATATTCCTAAATCAGTTTATATTATGTTCAAGTCAACTTCTATAAACCTTAAAGTCTTACAAATAAATCTGTGTACCTAGACAGTATTAGACTGTTGCATTAATCATCTTCAAATCTTACATCTCCTGACAATACTGTATCTAAAATGCTCTATAAAAAAGAAAGTCAAGACAAAACTATGTTACATTTTGAAGAATTTCTACTGCCAGTAGATACTTTAAGAAAATGTTAATTTATTATTCTGTTGTCATTATTGAACTAGTTTCTTCTGGTTCTGTTTACTAAGACAGTATTTTAAAAAGACATAAAAGATATTACTTCTAACCTATTAGAAGAGCTAAAATCCAAAACATTGGTAACATTAAATGTTGGCAAAGATGTTTAGCAATAGGATTGCAAATTGGTATAGCAACAGTTTCCTTACAAAGCTAAACATAGGATCTAACAATCACATTCCTACTTATTTACTCAGCTGAAAACTTATGTTTACACAAAACCTGCATGTGAATGTTTACTTCTTTATTCATAATAGCCCAAACCAGAAATACTTAAAGCTGTCCTTCAATAGGTAAATGGATAAACTGTGATACATATTCATAATTTGCTATCAAATTATGAAAAAGTCAAAACTATAAAGACAATTAAAAAATCAACAGTTTCAGGGGAGAGAAGTAGCAGATGGGAGCAGTGAAACTATTCTGTATGATAGAGTACGTAACACATAACACAAAGAGTATATCCTAATGTAAACTTAGTCACACCAATACTAGATGTTACCAATAGGGGAGACTTGGGAGGTGGGAGCATGGGGTGGGGGGTGATTTCTTCAGGGGAGAAAATATGGGAGATCTGTATTTTCTGTAAACCTAAAATTGCTCTGAAAAAATAAAGTCTAGTAAATTTTTAAAAACGTACTCTAGAAATATTATTTTGCCACTTACCTCAATGTGTTCTTTGGTAATAAGCCAAGGTCTATGGGCTAACACTTTGTTAAGTTCTCCTAAATTTTGTAGCTTTTGTGGAGCATTCTCTAAACCATTAAGCCACTTGGGGTCCCCACCAACATGAAGAAAATCATTTACATGGAGGTTCACTAAGTAGGAGCATTGATGTCTTGCTGCAGCCTTAAGAGAAAACAAAAAGATTATTCAAAAACAGAGCTAAACATTTAAGGTAGAAATTTTCTTCAATAAAGTGCAGACAGCTAATTATGTTTCCAAGTTTTCCACAAACTATAAGAATGATGTTTCATATAGTCATTTAATAAAACACATACCCCCCATGAAAATACCTCAAACAGTTCAAGAACAAAATATGTGATACAAGTATTTGAACTTTAGGACATCTACTTGTATACCAACTTTCAGAACCTCAGGTTAAGAAACATTAAGGTAGCAACATAAAAACAAGGATTATAATTTATAAAACTAACAGGAATAACATCACTTCTATCAATGTGAATTGTATCTTGTGTTCTACTTTAGTTTCTTATTTAGTGGAAAATAGTTCAACAGTGTGTAATACGTGTTTCTTTTTCTGTTGTACTTGAGAGCATATTTATTTAGAGAGAGGAAAAACAGATACTACCTAACAGGAATCCAATTACAAGCCAGAATATAAATACTATCCCTCTGTTTAAAGCATTAACCCATCTCTTGAAAAGACTAATAAAGTAGGCACAAAGAATTTTTCACTGAATGTATACAAACCATTATTCCAATGTAGTGTCGAAAATGTAGGGGTAATGGCCCATCCATTTGCAGTAGATAGTGTTGAGTTTTTAGGAAACTTTCTAAATACTGTGGGTGAAAAACCATCACTAATGTAATATTATCCAAACGACCTAAAGCAGCAAAAGAATCTGCAAATAAAGTATGCATCTGTGCGTCTTCACTCCCCACTTGGAGAATCTGTGTAAAAGAAAAATGGTTACTAAATTGTAAATCAGTGTGAAAGACCAAAAAAAAAAAAAAATGAAATTGTACACACACATTTCATAGTGTCAATAAAAATTACATTTACACCACCACAACAAAGGTCAAATATATTAAGGGATGTCTAGATGGGCTGCTCGCAGACTTGGCCAGAAAAAGGAGCAGATCTGGATTACCAAACTTGCAGAGTTTGCTAACAGACACTAGAGTACTTCCTCACAGCAAGACCTAGTCTCTCCTTTGAGAGAGTAAGGCAAACCAAAGTTAACAGCACACAATGCTTGTGAAAACAAAACATAGGTGCTTTTACATATTTAGAATTAAAAATCTGATCTAGCATCATTGATAGCAGCCTATGGAGATGGTCAAGACCAAGTACCTCACGTTATGAACACATTTAACATCTAAGCATACAGAGTATCACTGGTCAAAAATAAGTCTTTCCTTAATTAAAATGGCTGTTAGAAAAACATCATGAAATACTAGAAATCAACATGACTACAAGAGCTTTCTAATCCCACAGATTCATTGCCAAAGCATGATGATTAACTGTGATCAACTCTGTGTAAAACATGCTGTTGACCAACTGTAGTTCAGATGCCAAGATATGGGTCAAGAGAGCTTTTCCTTAAAAGCATACTCCATGTACTTTCACAAACAACATACCTCCTTTTCTGGGATGAATCTGCTTGGTCCGTGTCCTAGTGGTCGAGGAATTCTAATTCCAAGTTCCTAGAAAAGAAAATGACACCATCTCAAGCCTCCAGCAGTAAACAACATGAACTGAGGCTACAGGAACGGGAGGGAAAAACAATCAGTAGAACAGAGACAGACTTGTTTTGGTGGTTTGTTTTCATGGTCAATATATACATACCAATTCCTCTGTTTGTATCACATAGTTGACAACAGCTTGCAATAGGACTCTAACTAAAAACAATAAAAACTGTTTCACTAAGGCAAAATTTTGCATAAAGTACTTGGCAAAAAGTCTAGAACAGAAAGTTCAGCACATAGCAGTCAACCCTGTGGACTGTCATCAATATAAATTAAGACCAGTACATCTAAAACCAAACCAAATATCAAATCTTATGCATCTTACAAGGAGATGGGAAAGTAGTAATTTCCAAATAAATATCTAAAACTGAAAAAAGTATAATTATCATTACATCTATAACAACTTAATAAAAACAGAAAAATTAACCAAAAAATTAAGAAATTAAGAGAAATAAAAGAAAGTAATATAGGGCAAGTTTTCCTTATAGTTAAGGAAAAACTAATTAAGGAAAAACAAAACAAGTTTGCCTTAAATTTTTTATTTATAAAATGTCATCAACCTAGTTATATTTTCAAGAAACCCATTTACAAATAAATGGTTTTCTGTCTTTTGACAGTGAATCTAGAATTCTACACCTATGTGACAGAATAGTGTGGTTAACAAAAAATGACAATCTAATATTAAGGCTTCCATCTTTTACTCCAGCACAGTGTGATTACAGAACCAAAATCAAAATGAATATAATCCAGGGTTGTTTTTTGTTTTGTTTTTTTTTTTTTTTTTTTGAGGCTCATGTCCTATCAATCTGGTTTCTAAAAAAACAAAAGTACCAACTTATTAAGAGTTTACACAACTAAAAATTAACCCTTGTTTATATTTATCATTACTTATAAATATTATTCCCACTCTTTCACTACTGCTCCCAAAAGACATTCAAGATATAAAACAGATGCTTTCCTTTTAAAGAAAAAAAGGGAGAGGAGGAGGGAAGACAAGAGAAGGACATATGGCAGCGATTCAAGAAATCTGGTTCAAGTGAATGACTGCAGCAGAATGGGTTTTTAAAAAGCAGGCATGATAAAATTGAAGAGAATTTTTATTAGAACTCACATGCAAATTTAAAACCTATACTCACCAAATGAATTTATAAAAATAACAATTTGAATAATCCTGTATTAGAGGTCATAGATTTATTTATTACTCTGATTTCTTTCACACTTGTACTGAAGATAGTAGTGTTTCAACAACTATATCTTTGCTTAGAAGAGTCACTGAACTCACTGATCTAACAATGTATGTGCCTTCATCTTAATATACCATAACAAATGCAAGGAAAAAAACCCAATATATCATCTTGGCACAAATGTAGCTATTTATATAAAATAATTTCATTAGCCCTTTTCTAACTGCTGAGTTTTGATCTAATTATAAGTATTTCAAACAAAACATGTCAAAACAAAACTTTAAGGATAACTGATATTTATCCCTTCTTACTTATTTGCTATTGTATTTAAACAAAGTACATTTTAAAAAACATCTACAGCAAGACTTTTATTTTATAGCAGAGACACTACTCATGGGACTCTAGTCAAAAGGGTGACGAAATGAATTATTCAAAAATTGATCTTGGGACAAGTGGATAGACATTCAGAAAAAAGTTAAGATGGTTAAGAAGTAGAGTCAAGTATATTTTATTCTACAATAAGTCAAAGTATAGAAAACCCCACAAAAAATCACAGTAAAGAGGCCTAAGAATACCATAAAACCCAGAAGTCATAAAATAGAAGATTAATAAGTTTGGTGACATAAAAATACTTTTTACATGGGTAAAACATACATAAAATTAAAAGACCCTGAAAAATATACTTGCAATTCATGCAACAAAGGGCTAAATTTCCTTAATACATAAAGATTCCTATGCATCAGTTAAGAAAACCCCCAGCAATCTGATAGGAAAATGAACAAAGGAAACAGGTCAAACAAAAGGAAATATAAATGGCTGAAAAATTATCAACCCTCATAATACAATAGTTGCAAGTTAATTATTTTGAGGTACAATTTTACATTTAAAAGACTGCTTAAAATAAAAAAAAACAACAGCATAACTGAGGGCAAAAACCAATTATTGTACAAAAATAGCAACAAAGCAGCAAAATAAATTGAAAAAAGTTTAACAGGCTGTATTGGAGAACTGATAGACACTTATTGCTTATGCATTTCTGATGGGTGTCTTCTGGAGTAGGAGGGTGGAAAATCATATAAACATATATCTATTTTATCTATCTAGTTAAGAACCCAAATAATCTAGCTCATTTTTAGTGTTAGAGATAAGGGCTGAACTCAGGAAATCTGGTCCTAAATGTAGAGCCCTTAGTTATTACTCTTTTGAGCTTCTATAAATGATTTTGATACATTGAGAACCTCTTAGATACCACTATTATAAACAGTATTCTTGACTTCTAAATGATTAAGTGAAATCAATTTTCTGGAAAATTCACTTTTGAACACTTTCTAGTTACCTGACATTAGTTACAAAAGTTACTGCTATTTTCTAGCAAATGTTAATTAAAAAAAGATCCTGTAGATCTTGGGAGGGTGATCATAAGACAAATCAAGTACATTTCATAACTGCCTAAAGATTACTTCAATTATGCCTTCATTTGTAGCTGTAAGAAACTGAATTACTGACACTGAAAATTTTGGCTGATTCATATTCTAGAGGTACAACTGCCAACAGCAAATGGCCTTATTGAAAATGATGTAGATGGTAATCACAGAACACAGGTCACAGGCTCTCAGGAAGGTGTGGCTGGAAAACTTAACAACGTGGGAACTCACAGTTCCTTGCCTTCAACAATCCTAATCAGCATCTTTAAAAGAGATAACAGCCTCCACTATCACAACACTGTTTCATCTCTCTGACATGTTTCTTCATTAGTGTATAAAAAATCCATAGTGAATGTTGACTAACAATGACATATATGTATATATCACTATATGAATCAGCATATACTGTTGAAATCAGATTTTTAAAATTTATTAAAGATAACATTTATGAATCTATATCAACCTCCCTAAGTAAAAGAATGAATGATTTACCAGAAACGGGAAATGAAAGAATCTGATGATCTACTGACTACTCGCAAAATTGTTTGAAAAGTAAAAATAATAAATTTCAAATATTTCATTTGTGTCATTGTACTTGGCACACCAAAAAAAAACTGTCCAGATGTTTTCATACTGACAACCTTAACATTGATGTTTAATTTAAAGAATTACAAAAGCAGTATATGTTTTTTTGAAACACATTTCATCCAGACATACAGCGTGTAAAAAGTGAAAGTTCCCATATCCGGTTAACTTCTTTAGGAGAATCATTGCCCATTGTTGGGCATGTTGACAAAGTTTTAAACAAAATGGAGAGATCTAGAAGTATTACATATTTAAAGAAATTTATATCTAGCAGTCTAAAAAAACAATTCCTACTATGAAGTGTTTCTAGTGATTCTTTTAAACTCATCATTAGCATTACTGGGGGATTTAGAAATACTGAAAGTTCAGGTAATTCTTCCAGTGTTTGGTCTATGAATTATGTTCCAGAAAAACAAAGAATTCAAAGTATTGGATTTGTAAGGCCGACTTAGGCATACATTTAAATGTATGACCTATACTTTAGACGGAGGTTCAATACCTAGAGAGTATTTAATTTAAAAGCACTATAGAAGCTTGCTGTTTGTAAGAGTCATGTTATTAATTCCTTTGTAAAGTGAATAGTTTTCCTGTTAAGTACTACTTCTTAACCTATCTTTCTATATGTTGGCTGTGGAAAATGAAATAGAACTATTCAGAGCTTCCTGGTTTTCTACTACAGCCCCACAGGCACTGCAATCAATGTGCAAGCGAAAACACCTTCTCTGACTTCCAATTAACAAGACTATCTTTAGAGAGTCTAGATCTGAACAAGAACCAGGAACCTGCACACATACCACCAGAAATATCAGAGCTATTCAAGCAAGATGACTGAGGCTACCTTCTACTCAAAATGAGAAAGGATCTATGGCCTGCAAGCATAAACTGTAAATGCTATTTCAACACTTTCACATTGCTTTCTCTCTTCAGTAAAATTTCCAAACCAACCTTTTATTAGGTTGTGTTATCTAAAAGCAATGAGCATATTACATATCCATGAATATTAAAATATGGAGACAGTACTTGGTGTTCTACCACCTCAATAAGAAAGTGTCTTCATTTAAATTTATGGGAATATATGCAGTATACTGATGATGTAAACTGCATTTACAAAAACACAAATGCTAAGACATTCACGTTCCTGAAAATACTGCAAAGAAATTACTTCATATTTAGGTTTCTTGAACTAAGACAATACAGCATCCTGGTTTCAATTCAAAGTTGAATTGCTATTTTTCTATTTTCTCCCTTGCCACCTTTTACATCAAAAACCTTTTAAAATGTACTAATTTTAGTTAGGGTTCTATTAATACCTGCCAAACTGCGCCTTATTGGCAACCACTTAACAGAGAGTACAAAATGTTACAATTAAATAGTTCTCGCTGAAGGCCAATTCTGACACAAAAGGGATGGTTTAATAAACAAGAGCAAAACGCTGTGCATAACGTCATAGAGCTGGCAGAACACACTTCTTCTAGGCAACATCGTCTTTTAAAGACTCAAATATATTCTCCTTCTGTCTTCAGGTAGGAGGCAAAGGGAGTGAGGGTCACAGAGTAATCTGTTTTGTCAAGACGCCCAAGTGAGGGGGAAAAGCCACAGGCTGTTCTAGTGCAAGACTGGAGCTTTGTTCGGATTCTGACTTGTGGAGACTTGCACAGGAGACAACGCTATTTGCTATTTTCGAGTTGGAGTTCTCCATTTAAATGACCCGGGGAGCAGTATCTCCCAGCCTCAGCATTTTTTTGTCCTCACAGCAGAAAACGTC